GCTCCGCGGGGAGCCTGCTTCTCCCTCTGCCTCTGCCTCTCTCTCTCTATCTCTCATGAATAAATAAATAAAATCTTTAAAAAAAAAAAAAAGAAGCAACTCTGCATTACACAGGGACTTACAAAGACTTCCCACTTTTTCGCTAGAGGTGAAAAGCACTGAAAAAGGTCTTCATTCTGGGTTTTATGTATCTCACCACAAGGGGTCAGGACATTTTTCATTACCTTTGTGGGCTATTTGGAGAAAGGGCAAGGGGACATCTCTAGCCCTGGCATCATTGTAACCCTGGTTCCTATGACCTCTGCCCAGTTGATGCTGCATCCCAGAAGTAATATAAACCATGGAGAACATGCAGACGATGTGGGAGTAGAACCTTCTCTGCACAACTCCAGGGATGACATCCTGATGCACAGGTAGAGAGGTCCACTCTTCTCTTTCTGTGGAACTCGAGGCATTCTTCTGCATCCAGAGTAAGAACTATGACTCCTAGGAAAGTAGCTGCAGCTCTCGAACAACTCGTTCCAAGCATGACTATTTACAAGTTAATGAAACAAGGAACTGTTCTGAGGTCAGCACCTCCAAGTTGAAGTATAACTAGTTCTAATGAAAAGCTTTTAGTTTAGACTTCAAGCATCCTCATTAAATGGATGAGACGTGACAAGAGAAGGCAACAGTATGTCCGTGGTCTTGACCTTTCAGGAAGCCACAGCAAGAGAATAAGGTTGCAGGCAGTGCTAGGTCTATGTCAGCAGGAGGCATATTAACTAAGAATTAAGGATATAGGACATCTGTCTTGGAAGAAACACATCTATCTGGAAAGATAATTTGGTCGTTTGTCCTGTTCTTCATTCTGTGTTTCTGAGAAAGAGGGAAGTGGTTGTTCTTCTTTGTCTTGATAAAACACATAGTTCAAATAGCTGAGAGTTCTGCTGTCATTGTTGTTTTAAGAAAAAGCCTGAAATCAATACGGCTTTTACTGCATCTTTCAAATATCACAAATAAGTGTGAAAACTCATCCAGCATCTTGCTGATTCTGGACAGCTTAGATCTTACTCATCAGCCTGCTGAACTGCTCCTTTTTCAGAAACATAGATACCATCCAAAATTTCTCTGATACCCCTGTTTTTAACTGTTCTGGTTTGCTGAATCAAAGCAGCTGAGTTTGATACAAGTTCGATGTCATTTCCTTCAAGCATTAACTCATCTTTCTGGGCTTGCAATACTGAATAAGCAACACCTGGCCGCATCCGAACCCTGCAGATGTATTGTTCGCCCAAGAAATTCCAGATTTCAACAGGAGAACCGTTCCCCTGAACAACAACGTTGATGGGGAAGCAAGCCTACACAGACCTCATCTTGCAGCGGAAGCCCAGTGCAGCACCCTTGACCATGTTCTATACTTGACTATTGAGAGTGCGGATGGTAGCCAGTTCTGTTCTAGTCCCACCATTTGTCAACGGAGCCCCTTCTTCTTCTTTCCAAGGAGATTGAGTTCTATGTCGATGTGACTGACGTCCCTTCACAGCGTTCCTCTAGGGACCTTCGGAGTAACAGTGTGTCCCTTCAGAGTGATGTGGACGTTTTCTGGAAATGTCGACAGTCTCATTGTTGAGAATGGTCTTCATTCTCATAGTTGATGCGGCAAAGAGCTAGGCGAGAGTTCTACAAGTTTAGACTCCGAGGAATTTCAGTGACCTGATCTGAATAACAAGAATCACCTTATCTCAAGTGGATAAATTATCAGAAATGCTATCTGACTAACCTGAAAAGCCATAAATTTTTGCACACTTAAAATATTTGTCATAGAAATGAGAACAGAGGATGACAAGTTAGAGGCTGTCTTAGAGCCTGAAGGGCCACCCCCTCCGATAACAGCTGAGATCTCATGCTTTGCTCTGTAGCAAGTTCTGACTTTCCCTTAACTTCTTAACACTGTGGGCAGCTCCCAACTTCTCTTAATTGTGACCCCCTCAAAATACTGGTTTTCCAAATTTATCCAGAAGGTTTATTAAAGAAAGACTTACATTCTGGCCTGCCAAAAACACCACCAAAACAACCCCCTAAAAATGAAGCCTCAAAAAGTAACTTGTCCTAAGGGAAAAAAATGCAAAATGATAATTACTATAAAGTCTCAGAGCTATATTCCCTAGCAGTGAGCTTTCTATAGTGGCTTTCACTTTAGGCTTCATGATTTTCAAACCATAAGAATAATCAAATTTCAGAGTTCCAAAAACTAAGTCCTCTGTGACCCAGACAGAAATTCTGTGGAATACCAAATCAAAAGCCCAGAGCAGTTCTGAACATTATAGATAAGCATTTAAAAGAAGTTAGAAGAAAACCAGAGATGAATTACACTTATTTATTAGTTGTAGACAGAATTCACAAGATCCCCTGGTGTTTGGGACTCCAAACAGAAAACTACCTAAAACAGTTATAAAACTCCAGGTGAACTCGGAGCTTACATAACAAACTGAGAATACTTCCATGCTTGTCATTTCTGAAGTCTTTAGTCATTTTGACATCTTTAAATTCAGAGTAAAATCCTAGCAAAGAAAGAATGTGAACTGTCGTCGACTTCATGTCTTCGTAGGTACTCTATGTAGCCTGACTTGGAGGAAAAATTTTTTAAAAAGGAAAAACTCAGGGCGCCTGGGTGGCTCAGTCGGCTGAGCATCCGACTCTTGATTTGGGATCAGGTCATGATCTCAATGTCGTGGGATCGAGTCCAATGACAGTCTCCGCGCTCAGCAGGGAATCTACTGGAGATCCTCTCTCCCTCTCCCTTTGTCTCTCCCCCGCTTATGTGCACTCTCTCTCTCTCTCAAATAAATAATCTTTAAAAATAATAAAATAAATTTTAAAAAAGGAAAAACTCCTAATAAGTAGACCGTAATCTTATGTAAATGTCCCAGTGTCCTAGTATTAACAACAAGCAAAAGCAATGCCCTGGCTTTTCTACTCTAGGGGTGTGTACTCCCCATTTTGGAGACAACTAGGAGGAAAGAAAAAAAAAACAGACTGAGGCACATAATGAGCTGCCCTTACACTGCCCTGGAGTCCACGCTACATTATGGAAGCACAGATGACTAAACACCGCTCCAACTCAGGATGGCTGCTTTCAAGCCCTTTCCATATCTATGATTCTCACCTCCCTCTGAAGATACAGTGCGAGAGAGGAGGCAAGGAGACAAACTACCAAGCGCTGAGACCACTGGTTACGAGCATTAATAAGGAAGTTTAATAAAACTACAGAGTAAATTAAGTGTGTATGTTTGCTCTGCCAGTTCAGACTTTCACTTAGCCTGGTACTCCTGCTACCATTATGCGGAGTAAGCTGTATTATCAATCACCTCTCCCGCACCACCAAGCAGAAGGCAGGCTGGCCCCACCATGCCATCTGCACGTGCACCTGCGCTCAGCAGCAGCGGCTGCTCACGATCTGCTGGCCAGAGATGCCCTGGCCCGGAGGGCACCACTGTGAACTCACAGTTTCCACAGGAACTAGTCCAAGGATTCAGAAAGAAAAGCTGGAGAGAGCCAAAGACGAGAGACAGGACAACAAATGGTAGCTTACAAATGTGAACCACAAAACCTCTAGGGCAGGAGTCATAAAGCATCTAACCCACCCGTAGTTCCTCAAGAATTTGAAGGTCATTATTATCTATTTCCTGGATAAATATTTCATTTTGTTTTAAAAATATATGTCATTATTTATGAGCAAAATAATTATAGCATACCACAATCTCAATTTCTTTTTTTAATACACATGAAAGTACTCAAGCAGACAATGGTGGGTACATAGGAATATTATTAAATGAATTCATATTAGATCTGCAAAATCTTTTCTCAAAATTTGAAAATCAAATTTATTCTTATTACTGTTTCCATGAGCATGATAAAGAAGTCCTAACTTTGAAAGTTCTCTTACAGCTGATTCTTAATACACAAGCTCATATGAGCATACTTGAAAAACATGAAGTCTAAAATAAAGACAATACAAATGGTAACTAACCCAAATAAATATGAAAATATTAATTTCATTGGTAATCAAAGAAACATATATTAAAACAATGAGCTATCATCCCAACCGCCATTAAATTAGCAAAGACAAAAATGGTAATTCCAAAAGCACAGGAGGGAAAAGTATCTTCCCCTCACTCTCATACACTAAGGAGGCTGATGGATACATTTTGTCTAGAGAACAATGAGACAAAATATATCTAGAGTTCTTAAAATGCTCACTCTTTGACCCCAAGTTCCATCTCTGAGAATCTGATCTGCTTAATATATAATAACCAGAAATGAACACAAAGACTTATACCCAAACATGTTGATTTATTTGATGGTTATAATATATTTATTGTAGTAAGTGACACACTGGATAAAACCTAAGTGCTTGGCCAAAGAATGTACATAAATAATAGATCTATAAAATGAAACATTATGCAGCCATTTAAAATTAATATATCATGTATTAAACTCAACTGTTTTTTTCAAGGAGGATACAAAAATACTACAAAACAATTTCATCTATGTAAAAGAGAAACCAATACAGAAAAAAGATTGGAAAGTCATATGCCTACATCTTAACCATGGTAACCACGACAAAAGGAGGTACAGGTGACTTTTACATTGTATTTCCCAAATGCTGTAAAATCTGCAAGCTACTATTTTATAATTGGCAAGTAAAACAGTTTCAAAAGTCTATGGATCAACAACCGATGGTATTTTTTTTAATGAGCTATTTAAAACACTAAGCATCTAACCCACATAAACATAAAACATAAGCCTTTTACAATAAAAACAACATTTCTTATCATTCAATTTTGAATGACTTCTAGATAAATCATCTATGACTTTGAAAATCAGTGTCACAACATAAACTTTTAACAAACAATAATCAATGACGAAGAAAACACCATTTATCCCCAGGTGGAATTACACCATAGTCATAAAATGGACATTATGGTTTTTCCCTGTGATTTTCTTTCCCTAGAAATAACTGTGAGAGATGAAAGAACCATTTTATTAACTCCAACTTTGAAGAGGACAAGACACTATTCTTAAGCAACTTTCTGCTAACAGATAAATCTCTAAGTATAAATACAACTAGGAATTTTTAACCAGATGCTGGATTGAATGGCTCTCTACTGAATCTATGCTAACTATAATGAAAATAACCATTAGAAACACACCAAATTTTTAAAAAGTGAGAAAGAGAAACATAAAAACTCGCTTAAGTTTTAACATCTTCTGAACACGTATGGGTCTCTGAAGTGGGTTTAAAAAAAACAACTCCACCACGTCCTAGCCACGTAAACCTGGGAGCAAGATACTTAATCCCTCAAAACGTACCTGTTTCCTTGAGTTTAAAATAAGGCTAAATAAGACAGAGTATGCAGAACCATCTCACACATTACTCAGTAAAAGATAGCTATTATTTTCCCTCAGAAGCAATGTTTACTAGATAGAAGCAAAGAGTAAAGAGCATTAACAGATTTAAATCAATTCAGGAAGCATTTGAGAGGCTCTGCAGGGCACTGGGTATACTGAAGTAAACACGAGCTCGCAGTTTGCAGGGAGAGAAAAACACAAGCCAAAGAAAAGTTACAATACAGCTATGCTAAGTACAGGCTGCTTTAAAGAAGTACAAGTTAGGAAACGTAACTGGGGCTGGAGTTTAAGGAAAGACTTTAGATCTGGATAATAGAAAAATGTTATGCAGTCAGAGGAGGAACGGAACATCAGCCAAGGACAAATGGAATGGTACAGCCAGAACCAGAGTTTCTTAAGGGATGTGGCCTGCAAGATCACGGCAGCCACACCCACTGTCCACAGAGCCACAGGCTGCTCCTGCAGGGAAGGAGAAAGGTAGGGGTGCTGCAACCCAGAGCAGAGCTTTCCGGCCACTCCCACCTTGCAATGTCTCTCCAGCGCCCTCTATTGACAAAGCTAATATTGCAGTGACTAATACGGGAGCATTACTTCCACGTTAGCTTCTGGTCCCATAAAGAAGACTGTATTGGGGGCTGAGAAACTTTAAACTGGTAACTGGCATAGGGTCTTTCCTCTCAAGTAAAAGACAGGACTCGGCCTTCTTCTTTATTTTTAATCTTTGGCCTCTAAGACAATGTCTGCCATGGAGTAGGAATTCAATAAATTTGCAAAGCATAGTAAAATGGAAAGAACACAGAATTTTGATGCAGGTAGATACTGGGTCAAGCCTGTTCAGTCGGGGGTGGAGGGTAGGTAGAGGGAAGAAGATACACAAATAAGCAGCAGGAAAAAACTGGGATTTCCTAAAGGTCAG